AGCCATAATTTCTGAATGTGAAAGTTTTCAGACTTGTCTGGTGTTGTGTACAGCCATACTATAGGTGAATAAAACGGACGATTAGTATTAAAGTATGTTACTTTGTTGTGTTTTTCATGAAGGACTTTGTAGACATTTTCATGTTAGCGGGCGGAATCAAGAACATAAATGACCCTGATCAACAAACGTTTATCAAGTAAGATTTCAAATTATTATGTTATAGTTTGTCTTTTTTTAAAACAGAAAATCTCTTTTCTCATCTCCCACATTTTGAGTCGTCCTTTTCACATGACCTTCATATAAGAAAAGTTCTTTACGTTAGCTTTGAAATCTAAATTGCTTATATGAGCATCCAAAATGGCCCAAATCTCAGCATTTTAATCACGCTATATTTCGATTTCTTTTCAGTTATTTTCCATTTCTGATATATAATTACAGTCCAACCTCCGGTTGTGACCACCTCTCGTATGCGACCACCTCTCCTCAGCGACCAGTTTTCCAAAATACTAAAGTTTCCAAATCAAATCGCTATATTTAAAACCTCTTGTAAGTGACCACCTCTCGTTAGCGACCACGACCACTTTTAGAGCTATAAGTTTAAAATTTTCTTTTGTTTTTAACCTGCCATAAGTGACCACTTGACAGATAATACTGAGAGAGGAAATTAAATAATAAGGTGTTGTAACATTATCCGTATTCCTGGGTAGTATAAAAGACGGAAATATTTCAGTGGGAAACCGTATTTGGTCTCGAAATTGACTTTTTACATGAATAAATTGTTTAAAACGTGGGGTAAGTCTCTGAAGTTACAATATGCTAATTTGGCAAAATTTTGATCCACTATGGTCCAAGCTCCCGTAAGCGACCACCTCCAGTAAGTGACCACCTCGACTTGACATTTTGAGTGGTCGCTTACCGGAGGTTTGACTGTAGAGTTTTTTGACGCCTGGTGATAATGTTTTCTTCATTTATGTCATTAGGAGCATCGACTTCTTGAAGGAATGGCCTGTAGAGTTAATGGCCAATAATCCCAAAAAATGTCTTTTCCATTTTTTCAGGTAGGAAAAGTGCTTTGTCATATACAGATTAGACGACTTGCATCTTTAAACAAATGCAATAATGCAAGCGTGACAAGCCTTTTCTAATAACATAACGACAAATTATTTTGCCTTCACAAACTTGATGGACGGCAGACTCAACTGCTTCATTTCCAACCAACTTTTAAATTTTTAATCAGCGCATGTTTTTCCTAACACGTGATTTGGAAATGTTTTTTTTCCTAGAAGCGGATCTGTTCTTGTAAGAGACAGCAATCATTCAGACTGGATTTACATCATAAAATCGGTATTTACATTTCCCTTTTCTGTAACTGTCCTGTGTATATATAGTCTCCCATAGTCTCTAAACTTAATTCCAGTTCTCTAGTTTTCTTTATTTCTACAATAATTTGTTCTATGAAACCCGTTTTCGATTTTTCTTTCTTCAGGGGAGTTGCCAAGTCCTTAAAAAGCTGAGAGAAGTGAGATGCTGCCTTACTCAACATAACGACAGGGTTGTAGGATTTGAAAACGGTACTTTGTCCAAAGTTCTTGTGTATTGTTCAATAGAATAATTAATTTAATGTCTCACCGATATCAGTTTATTTATTTCAAAACACAATACACTTAAAAAAACGTATCGGGGTAATCGAAAACACACCTTAACTCTCGTTCACGTGCCATAAAAATTGTGAGGAAGATTTTTATTGAAAAAATTATTTCTGTCTGTTTATAGTAAAAAGCCAGGTTCCCAAAGCCTCATCACGTGACAGACTGGAGCGAGTGAAGGCAAAGTTGTCAGTTGTGACGCTTTTATTACCCAAGCTGCACCTCAGGCCTGGTCTGATAACACATGAAAGCGACAATGACGATGATGCTGGAACCGAGGCAAAAACCGCTGACGCCATCGACGAAGTAGCCGCTGCCCAGAAAATATTTAAAACAAGTATTGATAACAGCAGCCAAGGTTCCCCCGAAGAAAAGTCGATCAAGTCGGTCGGTTTTCGGGCGGCTACACCGCCGCACGGAAGGCGAAAGGGAGTTGTAAGCGCCCCGGAACCATCAACGAGGATTCCTACTGACGAACAGTCAAACAATCTAAAACACAGGTTGGACTCAAGGAGAAAGCTTTCGAGTGAACCTGGTCTGATCAGCATAACTCGTGAAGAGAACGCGGTTGAAGAGGAGCAGTTAAGAAAATTGTCAAGCTCTGAACTTCCTCGGCGATTGAAAAAAAGAATGACGGGCAATAGCAACTTGCCTTTACCTACTGTGGAAGAGGAAACCAAGTCTTCATCACCGGTAATAAATAATTCAGAACTTCCAGTGCACCTATGAAATTTTGAGAAATAAAATTTTGCAACATCCTTCCCCGGCCTTCTCGGACATTTAAATCTGATTAAGCGATTAGCTGAACATTAGAGAAGCCTGGACACGAGGCTAAGGTCTAACAAAAGTCCTGGGCACGGCGCTACAGGGTCGTGGCAGAAAAACGTTTCGTAGGAATTTCGGATTCAAATCGAGAGACGTGTTGTTGATCAGTTCATCACAGAAACCTCATGTCTAGATTTCATGTTTTAACTTAAAAGTTCTATCTTTAGTTCCAAGCTAGCAGGTAATATGGCAGCTTTCATGTAATTCTGATTGTGTTTTAGACCTTAACTCCACCGCGTCAACGATTCAGCTCTTTGAATGCAGATTCTGTAGAACACGACCAGAGGACTAGTAGGTCCAATTCAAACACTCGGCCCAGGAGCCAGTCTCCCGCTTCGAGGCGCACAAGCAGAGTGAGAAAATCTACTGTGACTCCCCCTGCAGGTAGTAAACAGAAATTGTTACTGTCGTTCTGTGAAATAATGACATAGCAACCAAAAGAAACCTTGAATTATCAAACGGTTCTAGTTATATCTGTGTGCATTCTCTAGGAGATGGCAGTGATGACCTTTTTAGTATTGTCGCAAGTAAGGGGGCATTAGACTTAAATGATAAAAAAAAAAAATGAACGTTACTCCAGCGGAAAGAGATTCAGGAGTAGGTTTTTAGCGCGTTCCGCTAACGAGTCTATGTTGCGTATTCAAGACAGAAGACTTTATAAATGATCTAAATTTCATGGCAGAAAATCACGTGTATTTTTGTTTTTTAGAGGACTTATCTGAAGAGGAAAAGAATCTACCACTACACAAGATTTCTGTTATTGACGAGGGCGAACAAAGGCCGGTTAGTACGCGACATCCTTCATGCTTCCAAGATTACAAACTACTAAGCTTTGAAAAGTCAACAACTCGACTAATTGCTGGATGTTTTGTATGCATCTTTCACCTGGGAAACTTTGAGGATAGGGTGTAAATAATTAATATAATTTCCCCAACTATGCCGTGTTCTTGTATGGAGAGCTAGCCTCCCACGCAGACGCTCTTTGGGCTCGTCACGTACGTCACGTTCGTGGGGAAGGAAGATTGCCTGATGATCGATGGGAGCCCAGAAAAACGTCTGCGGAGGAGGCTAATGTAGAGCAGGAAGGATAATACATTTATCTGGTGATGTTAAGCTGTAAGCTACCCCCGGGTTGCGACCACCTCTCGTAAGAGTGCTGTAATTGTAACCGAATTGAAGTGTTTTTTGTTTATTGTTTTTGTACAGACCGAAGTTCGCATCACAGACGCTGATTTACATCCCATGTTCGTGCAAGTTGCCCTTCTTCAAAAAGGAGACAGTTTTGTAAGAACCCAACATGATGTTCCTCTTTCAGTGATCAGTGACATCTCTCATGTGTTCCATGTGACATTCCGTGCATTACATACATGAATTCGACTGCGTGCTTACGTTCCCCGATCTTTAATTTTTGTTACGTTCCATTTTTAGAACAAGAAAAGTTGATTAGTTCATAGCTAATTACTGTAAACCCTGAACAGGTCAGAGCCACCTTTTTAGGATACTGTGGACGTCATATATACGCAAGGTGTCTTGATAGGAAAATAAGATACCCTGTCTACTAAAATAAGGTATCTTTGTTCAGCTGTGTATTATCTTACTGTCTAATTGCTCTTCATGTTTCATTCAGGGAGTGTCCTCTATGGTATTCGACGAACAGCCAAGTCTCAGCCTGGTTAGTATTGCGCATGTCAGTTATTATGGACTTACATACATCAGATTTACCCCTCCGT